TCGTCGTCGTGCACGAGATGAGGTTTGGATAGAGAATGATATGCAGCTACCATGTATTTTTGTCCATACAAAGTTTCATGTTAAGTAAATAAAATTACTGTGGCAAAAATTGTGGGGACAATTACCGCGACGTGACAATAAGGGTACCAAAGTTAGATAGCTTCAACGAAATTTCATGCAGCCTAGGTTGCAAGAGGTTGCAAGAGGCGCCTCCTAACGCACTCGGAAGTGGATCTGCCAGTCTCGCGCAGCCACAGGCTGCAGACCGATCAGTTCGAGGTCGGACAGCATGATGGCGCCGGGCCCCAGTCTCCAACGAGTGTCAGTTCTCAGACATTTCGCCAGTGATTCCTGTAGATTGCGTTAACAGGAGCGCAGACGATCCAGATAGAGAGGAACATACGTCTAAGAAAGTCTGCGTGCAGGAGCTGACACGCATAGCTAGCTCTGCCCGAGTGGTGGTAGAGTGAAGAAGGATGGGGACCGACCAAGGCTCGTAATCAGGCCACTAGATGCATTGTGTCCTCGTAAGCATTGCAGCCCACAAATCTCAAACTTGGATGAGCACATACCATAATCCTCAAGATCATGTTTCTCTGGCACTCAATGATGTCGTTCAAGTCTTGCAACTCCGCGAATCGTTCATTGAGCGCGTCGAGACAGTTGATTCCACAACCGCGTGGACCAAAGACATTAAACATGATAGGTGACGCGTCCGCGCTGGCCAGCTGCTGAGCCTGCGGGGGTCGATATATAATCTGGGGGACAAGGCGCTCCGCATCAGGGTGGACGCTCGCCAGATTGCGGACGGTTGGCGGCACCAAGCTTTGCATGACCGCCAGACTAGTGCGCGAATGCTCAACTAGACTCGGTAGCGGGATGTTCAGCAAATTGGACTTCGCGACAGGCGTGCATCTGGTGGACTGCACACCGCGGCTCCGCTGCAGTGTTTGACGCGGGTTAAGTCCGTCATCGTCGCTCTCGTTGCCACCGACTGATTGGCCACGAGACTCATCTGCGCGCAAACGAGATGCTGGACTCAATCTCCTACTGCGGAAGCCTTTTGTCCTTGAGCGGGGCCTCAACGAGGAAGGATGAATCATGCGCCGAAGGCGACGGTAGAGGTCCGGGAATTTGGGCCTGTCTCTCGGCTGCTCATGCCAGCAGAGGTTCATTAAAGACCACAAAGGTTCTGGGAGGGGGTGCGTAGTTGTGTACTGGGAGGGGCGCTTGCCCTCGATGATGGCTAATGTTGCTCTGACGGCTGAGTAATCATGGAATGGGACGTTGCCGTCGAAAATCTAACTCAGAGACATGCGATCAGCTGAAGCTCCACTCACGACAGAACTCTGCTCACCGTCCACGTGCACATCGCAAACGAGTAAATGTCACTTTCGGGAGTGTGTCGCATGTGCTGCAAGCCGTACTTCTCTGGATGCAAGATCTCTGGCGCCATAAATCGAACCGCAGACGCAGAATTGATACTGGCAGAAGACGCATCGGAGAAATCTGACAGTCCGAAGTCTGCAAGGCGGACGTGGCGGTCGGCGTCGATAAGGATGTTTCTCTAGAACAAGATTTAAGATGACATCGCACATGTAGAAGATGCAGACGAACCACATGCAGGTCTCCATGGACCACATTCTTGTCATGTAGGTATTCTAACGCCCGGGCGATATCTATCACCTAAACCATGGTCAAAAGCCATACGTATTTGATAAATATCGAAACACGCACGAATTGCTTGACTTCGCCGAGAACAAAAGAGTTGGCTTCGATGAATTCCATAATATTTCCGTGTGGCATCCACTCCGTTACCAGCCTAGGGAGCCCTCCGTATACTTCGCGATCGACGCCTATCAGCCCGCATATGTTTTGATGGTCAAGGCTATGCAACAGCGAGATCTCGCGACAAAATGTCTGCATCGATATATTAATAACAGCTCGCAAAGAATGTTCATCTCGGACACTACCTTACGACTCTTGGACAGCTCATCAGGTGTCTGCCGACTGAAAACCCGCATTGTTTTCAGCGCTACGCGGCGCTCGCGATATCGGCCCATACGGATGTTAGCGTATGCCCCGGTAGCAACGTGTTCTGAGTCCATTAGGGTGACGCCAGTGAGATACAAGCCCTCCGGGAGCCGGAAGGAAGCCATGGATAGCCTAACGCTTGCTCGCTGAAGCTGATCTTTGAAAGCTTGCACGCCTGGATCCAATGCAGGGGTTAGCAGCTGAGAGAACCCGAGATCCGAGAACCCGAGATCCTGGCCAGGACCACTGGGATACAAAATCTATCACACTGGGAGTGAGTTCGACGGCAGAGAAGTGTGTAAGAATAATAATTACCGAATTAACGAGGGTCAGGAAGGAAGTTGCACTGTCCTCACGCAATCCCATGATCTCTTCTTCCTCGGCGTACACGGCCTGTTGGAGCATCCTAAGGACGGAGCGATCGTCGCTCTCGAGGGCCATCCAGAGGGGCCCCTGACGACATGGTAGCTTAGATGAAAGCTGAGTGGCAGTGTTAATACGATACAACCAATGCATTGCGTGTAGAAACGTACTTCAACCAGTCTTGAACGGTGTGGTATCGCTTTGGCCAGCAAAGCGGCACAACTTGAAGTCGATTGACACAGATGCTCTAGCTCTAGAAGCGACTCGTAGCTGTACGGAGTCAATATGAGGTAATTGACCGGTTCAAGCCACGACGTACGCAGAACGGAAAGCGTTCATGTCCTCTTTCGTCTTTAATAAATCATAGATATCGTTGGCGATAAGGGCTGAGGTTTGCTGCATGATCGCTGTAAATTCTGCCATCTAAATAAATATCAGAGTAAAACACATACCTGATAGATATTCCACACCCCAAGACTCCTCACGGGTTCGTCGGGCCATTTACTCGATGCCTAAAACACGGAAATGCGTGAGCACCTGATGCCAGCAGTGGTGGACTTATCACGTACTTCGATATTTTGGCAATGTATAGGTTCTCCCGTGTGCTCCATCTCGTCATGCAGTGCTGCCATTCCTTGACTCATGAACCGGTCATGGTATCGTCTACACTGGAAGCTTATGGAGGTCTCTAGATCTTGTTGCCCCGCGCCAACGTAGTGCACGGAGCGTCGATCTGCTGGGCTGATCGATCTGCGCTGCCGCTTCATCTCGAGGGATGGTTCATGAATGCGTGTATTGATTGTTGCTATTGGTGTTCTCGTGTCGTTGTCTGGGCCATCTTCCGGGTCATCGACGTTCGCCATGAGATTAGCGGTAGATATGGACAATTCTGCCTGATACGATGTGCCGTCGTTTTCTACTTGATGCATCATAGTCTCATCTTCGGCCGATGCATCCTCACATCGAACATCTGAGTTTTCAGAAGCAATATTATAGCCGTCCGCATTGGGACTATGCGTAAATGAGGCAACTGAATCATATTGAGCTTCTGCTACCGGCCAGAGCTGGTTCACTGACCTTTAATACTCCCATAAGAGGTTACATGGAACGGAGAGTCCCAGTCACAGTCGTGCAAGACGGCTAGCTCAGCGGTGGAGTTCTGCGTGTCAAGTGTCAGAGCTTTCGTGCAACATACTTAGGTGTACCTCACGCACCTCAAACACATGTTGAGCAAGCGATTCCAGCGGATCCTTGAACTGCGCACGATAGTGTAAGTGACGCATGTAATGATTATATTACGCTTCAAGCACTCACTGGAAGGGCGATCGTCGATTGAACTGTCGCGTCCTCTTCCTCTGTACTCGCAAGAATGAGATACGCCGATGCACAAAGGAATTTTCTGCACCATCATTCTCCAATGTCATCCATGCCGTTACGCCTTCGTTCTCTTGATCCGAGTCTCTGGAAGCACTGGGATCCTCAGGCTCAGCGGCAGCCTGGAGTTTGACGGGGGCCATAGGCAGCGACCGTTTAAACACGCGTAAGCCTCTCACGAAGATGCATTGGTCGAAGGCAGGTACTTCCCCAGCATCGGATGAGTACTCCTCGGCACGCTGGGGACCGCAGTGCTTATGCACATGAGGAGAGTGGCACTTCCAGTTACCCCACGAAGCCGACGCAGAGGCGCCATGAGACGCGGATATCTCGAACTCGATGCTAAGATTCCTGTTGTTCTGAGCGAAGGCGATCATTGAGAAGTCTGCCGTCATGTCGCAGCCGGTTACCAGGAGCAGCTGGTCGATGCTCTCGACCGGGTGTCCATTCTGCTGGGCGAATTTGAACCACGACCGGTAGTGCTTGAGAATATACGTCTCGAATTGCCTGCGGCGTTGCGCGTCATAGCGCTTGGTCTTGTGTTTCGTCAGCAGAAGCGCTCCTTCCGACGTTGAAGCTTCGCACGAAAACGAAGCCTTCCCTTTCGCAAGATCCGCATTTCTAAAAAGGTTATCAGTCGCTCCGCTGCGGGCGGAAAGACCGCTGGACTCACCCAGCGATCTCTCCTCGGAATGATGATGATTCGCTGTATGTTCGCGATAAAGGTCCCGGCTCTCGCGAGACTGTATCGATGATCGGCCCTATTTCCAGAGGAACATGACCTTCAGGAATCTCGGTGCCGTAGGTCTTGGTCTTGCCATCAACTTGAACTGGGTCTCCCGCATTGAACAGGAGTTGAAATCCTCCAAGATAAATGTAGCCGACGTCCCCGATACGCACGGAAGAGAAGTGAGGAGCGGGATCCCTACGCCTCGACGTTTAGAGGGGTACGCAACCCGGGGGAAGGGAATTATCGCCGTACCATATTGGGATACCAAGCTTCAGCGGTGCCATGCAGCTACGTGACATTTACTGATAGCACAACAGCAAGCATGGTAGTAAAGTACTCACTCGGCGTAGATCTGGTAGTCGGACTTGTCTAGGATGTCCGTGGGCATTGTGAATGTGAAACGATGAAGATGAGGGAGGGGAAATTTGGATGGTTGTTGTTGTTCCAGGAGTGCCTTTTATTGCTGGAGGCATGTCAAGCAAGGACAATGGGAGTTCCTGTGTCGTAAATGAAATATGGCGGTGCAAAACCGACGAGACGAAAAATACCGTAGCCGAACACGAGACAACGTGTCTTTGCGCTTGCCAGTGCATCATAGCGCAAAAACGAGCACCGATCAACCACGGAGTGTCCCGCAGTTCATATGGAAGACACGTTGCACGTTAGAAGCTCCCGCGGCAGTCCTGGATGTCACGCACTAGTACCCACTGACCTGTGTAAGCGTTCCAGAAAGTAAAAGACCTGTTACTTGGCGAACAATGTACAAGACATCCGGCTGCACATGCTACGTACGCTCTCATCTCACTGAAGCCCGGCAGCGACAAGTTCCAAAACTTCCCTCACGATCTAACCCTCGCTCTCCATATCCATCGCGATAGTCAGCCACATCTGCCCATGATGAGGGCCCATAGCTACGCACCACTTGGTGGCCTCCTCCTCGTGCTGGGAAACATCATGCACAGACACGTGTCATGACCCGAGCGTACCTGCTTGAACCACCATGCCCACACGTGGCCGGGCTGATTTGTACCGCCTGCTCAAGCCACTGCCTCGCTTTCTCGAGCCGCGTGGCAACAGTGCAGATGATGAGCGAGTCGCCCGCTACTCCGCGCGCCTCCTGGCATCAAGCCCGTTCTGGCGCTTAGATTAGATTCCTCGCGACCACCATTACAGCCATCAATTGCCAATAAATATCGTGCATAATACTTCTTATGCCGTTAGTGATACTTATTATACTGCGTTCATGTGTCTCTCCTGTCCAATTTACTGCACGAGGTAATGTATCATCTACAAGGGTGTCGTCTCTAGCAGGATGCAGATGATCACTCAGGTTTGTCCTCGCCTCTACAAGCACGTCCAGCGGCAAATTCGTCAACCTGTCGGTAACTCCACATCAGGTCTTTAGAACTTCATTTCCTACCAAGCTCCTCGTAACTCTTCGTCCCCGGGAACCACACGCAAGCCGCAGACGCCATATGTCATAGCAATTTAGAGCAGGTCGCCGAACAGCCTTTCCCGAAGCGCTGCACAATACACAAGAGGCGACGGCTCATTGGGACTGCAACGAGAGCCCTGAAGCTTGAAACCGGCAGACACTATTGAAGGTAGAGTATTCATGCACTGTGGTAAGATATGACTATACTGAAACGTTAGCGCGGGCTCACGAACATTTTTTCGTCACTGAAGGCGGTAGCTACTGTGATCGGGCGGCCGCCTGTCACGCAACGGACTTCTCTAACATAGCAGTGTCCGTCGTGATATCCGTACAGTCAACTCCACATAAGTCCTTACTGAACTTGTTCCGTGTCGCCATTTCATGATATGGCGCGGCCCTTCCGCCGTCGAAACACGTTATTATCGGCCCTCACTGAGCAAGAGGATCGTATCCCTGAATCTCAAATTCCTCGCTCCAGTTCCCTGAGTCACCGAACACTGTCGTAGGTACAACATCAGCTTCTTGCCACACAATATCTTCGAACACTTACGCGTAATGCTGTAGTCGCTCTGAGTGTACACCTCCGGAATGGTGATCTGGGTCTGGCCCGAGCTGAGGTCGAAGCCCATGGCCAGGATAACTGTGGCATGTCAGCCAGAGGCATACTGCTACTTAGAATCAGCTAGTACGCACCCGGAGTTCCAGTTTCGCCAAAGTTCAAGGTGATATGACCAATCGGGTTAGTG